CCCCCGCCCCTCCGCCCCTCCGCCCCTCCGCCCTCCGCCCTCCGCCCTCCGGGGGTGGAGTTGCCATGCACGGAGAAGACGCCAGGCAGGGGCGTGTTTCAGCCGCCACCCACACCACGAGGCCGGCGCCCAGGTGGAACCCAGCAGCTGGCCTGGCGGTGGTTACGCGCTGGCCCCCTGGAGGGGCGAGTGCCGCCACCCCGGCCGCCCGGGGGGGGGGGGGGGGGGACGCCCGTGGCCCCGCATCGCCCCTTGCCCGCCCCCCACCCCAGCGGGATTCAGCCCCCAAGGGGCGGCTCGCCCACGGCCGCACATTGCCCAGGACACACGGGTGGCGGGGCGAGCAGCCAAGCGGAGGCATAGCGGGGGCGGGCGGGGGGAGAGAAGGAAAAGGCGACGGAGGCAAGGGGAGGCGGGACTATTGGACCGTGCCCAGGGTGCGTTTGGCACACGCGATGGGAAGCGACAGCCGGGCCGAGGGATGGCCGTGTCCGGGTCCTGGCACCCGAGACGCGCCGGACGATCCGCCCGCCTCGGGGCCGCCCTCCGCCGGCCGGGGAAGGCCGACCCGGGGGAGGGGGCATGAGGGCGCAAGCCTGGACCACCCGCCCTTCTCCGCCGCAAACACCGGGCCCGGCGCGGCCGCAACAAAAAACAATGAAAAAAAAAAACAACCGGAAAGCCCCCCTACCGGCATGTGCGCGCTCCGCCACTTGGCCCAGGACACTGGAGCGCCATTGGGTGCTATGACGCGTGGAATATTGAATGCGCATTTTCCCCCCGTTCCTCCCCCGGTGTCGGTCGACGGGCTCTCGTGCGTCCGGCCGATGCTTCCCCAACACCCCCGGGGGTGGCTCCCCGCGCGGCAGGTAAAATGACCGCCCAATTGCCGGCTCGCCCGCGCGCGCGCGTACATCCCTCACTCCAGGGAGAACCCCGCCCCCGGTCCTGCCCCAAGACTTAACCTCCCCCGCACCCCCGCACCCCCGGCCCCCGCACCCCCGGCCCTGCCTCGCCTTCTCCCGCGTTCCCTCTTCTTCCTGGGCGAAATGCTACCCCCCGATCCCTGGCCCCTTCGTGCCCGGCCCTTGCTGGTCCCCACCCAACGTGTCAATATTCAGCCAACATAGCTGGCCTGGCGTGTGCCCAAAAGTGTTTGCACGCGCGTGCACGTGTGTGTGTATGCACTCACCCCCACTTGCGCCCGCTTCCCCGGCCCCCTCTCGCCCCAGGCTGACAGATGCCCGCCAGGCACGGCCAATCCGTCCCCCCCCCCCGCCCGGCAGCGACCGCCACGCGCGCGTGGCCGCGCTCGGAAAGAGGGACCCGAAAAAGTGGGTCTCGACCGGCGGTCGGGCAGGGCATGCCACTGCAGCGTGACGACCGGGGTTCATTCACGTGGTCGGCAAACTGCCACTCGGCTTAACTCGGCCTCCTCAACATCCCCCATCGCCCTGTGCCTCCCTCCCGGGGACGGCCTTCCGCTCGAGGGCCGCGGCCAGGGCAGCCACCTCGACCAGGGCTTGGCCTGATTCGGCCAATGCCGCCTGGACACCGGGCGAAAGAGGTGCCCCGGTCGGTCCGCCCCGGAGAGCGAGACCACCGGTGGCTTCAACGCGGCCAGCCTGGCCGACAGCGGCCCGGCCGAATGTCCGCAATGCCCCAGACTCGCCGAGCTCCGCCATCACCGGGAGACCCTCGGCCGGGGGGCTCGGAAGATCACGCTTGAAGGCCGCCTCCCCAGCCAAGTGCCGTAGGGAGGGATACTTCCGCGCGAGGGAGGCAGCTGCCCGACCCGTTTGCCTATTGGCCCCGGCGCCGAGCGCGGCCTTCAGCAGCTTCGGCGCGGCGAAGGGCAGGGGGGAGGGGGGGGGGGAGGGCATATAGTGGTCAGAAGACAGGCTGGGCCTGGAATGGTTGCCAGCCACCTTCCCGCCGGGCCGGCAGAGGAGCCCACCAAGGCGCACCTTGCGAACGTCGGCCCCGGAGACCGGCAGCAGCCAGTGATCCCCAAGCGCGCATCGACCATGGCTCCGGGCCGATGCGAGGCTCCCGCCCACCGCCGGGGCGTGGAGGAACTCCTCAGCCGGGGCGCACTGCAGCAGCCAGGACAGCATGCGAGGCCCAGTGGCCGGGGCGCCTCCCCCGAGCAGCGGCCCGATGGACGAAATGTCATCCAGATAGCCCGGGACCAGGGAATCGACAAATCCCCGCCGGACTACCGGGCAGGCCAAATGCCGCGTCAGCCCCCGGCACCGGAGGCTATCTGCGGCACACGGCACCGCGTCGAGGCATGTTCACCGGTGTCAGGCGTCGCAGAAAGCAGACATACCGCCCTCGCTCCCCCCC